CAAATGGAAAAATATTCCATGCTCATGGATTGGAAGAATCAACATTGTTAAGATGTCTATCCTACCAAGGCAATCTACAGATTTAATGCAATACCCATTAAATTACCAGCAGCATTCTTATCATACCTGGAAATGACAATACAGAAATTCATATGGAAACACGAACAACCACAAATAGCCAAAACAATCCTCAGCAAAAGAAACAAAGTACAAGGTATCACACTTCCAGACTTTGAACATTATTATAAAGCTACAATAATCAAAACAGCCTGATATTGGTACAAGAACAGGCATATAGACCAATAGAACAGGATAGAGATTCTGGAAGCAAAACCACAATTTCTCAACTGACTCATCTTTGACAAAGCTTCCACCAACAACCACTGGGAAGAGGAGAACCTATTCAGTAAATGGCGCTGGGAAAACTAGCTGACCACATGCAGCAGATTAAAACAAGATCCCTACCTATCACCGTACACAAAAATCAACTCTAAGTGGATCAAAGACCTAAATGTAAAACCTCAAAGTATAAGAATCTTAGAAAAAATGGGAGACACCCTTATGGAAATTGGAACTGTCAACCAATTCCTGACAAAAAGCCCAAATGTCTATGCCTTAAGAGATAAAACAAGTGGGGCCTCATCAAACTGAAAAGCTTCTGCAAAGCAAAACAAACCATCAAGAGAGCAGGGAGACAGCCCACAGAATGGGAAAAAATATTTGCAGACTGTGTATCTGACAAAGGCTTAACATCCAGGATCTATAAGGAACTCAAACATGCCAAAAAGAAAAAAAACAGCCCTATTACAAAGTGGACATAAGATATGAATAGACACTTCTCAGAAGAATACAAGAGCAGCCAACAGATATATGAAAAAATACTCAGCCTCACTAATCATCAAAGAAATGCAAATCAAAACCACACCGAGATACCACCTAACTTCAGTCAGGATGGCCACCAACAATAATTCAAAAAACAACAGATGCTGGAGAGGCTGTGGGGCAAAAGGGACACTTTGACACTGTTGGTAGGAGTGTAAACTAGTACAACATCTGTGAAAAAGTTTGGCAATTTCTAAAAGATCTAAAAGTGACCTTCCATATGACCCCTCAATTCCCCTTCTGGGAATACACCCGGTGGAACTCAGATCACTCTATGAAAAAGATAACCTGCACAAGCATGTTTACTGCAGCATTATTCATAATAGCAGAAACATGGAACCAACCATGCTGCCCATCGATAGAGGACTGGATTTAAAAAAAATGTGGTACATATACACAAAGGAATATTACACAACCATAAAGGACAAAATTATGAACTTTGTAGCAACTTGGATGGACTTAGAGTCTATAACACTGAGTGATCTATCACAGAAACAAAGAACTAAGTGCCACATGTTCTCAGTCATAAGTAAACCTCGACCAATTATCATAATACTATAAGAAAGGGATTCGCAGTAATGACAAACTGCCAGGGTTGGGGGGAGGCACACCTCATCAAGGGTACCTGCATAATGACCATTTGTATACCTGACCCTGAATTGTACCCCACACTTTTAAAATAAAAAAAAAATATCTAGATTGCTTTCCCTATTATCTAGCCACCAAAATAGTGTTTGCCTCCCATCTCCTTTGCTCGTGTGCTGCACATTGTCCCATTTTCTTCCACTGGAAGAGGCAGAGAAGCTGCTCTTATATGGTGACTGCATGCTTTGATCATTGCCTTTCTTCCCCCAAAGTCCTCACCTGCTTTTAGAATTGTGTTGCTGCCAGAAAATTAAAGCCTTTCTCTGGTTCTGCAAGAAATACCAGTGAATGAATAGGAGAATCTAGTATATAATAAGGATGATTACAGATTTTGGGCAGGCATTTGCTATCAAGGAGATATAATAAAGCATTTAATTACTTAGAGACATCTAAAGAGCAATTAGTAGGCACTTCCTTTTTCATTGCACTTAAAGTCTTAGCTAGATAAGTTTTTTCCTCAAAGAATTTTGATTTTTTTTTCTTTCGGGTCTACTAGTAAAAGCATGAAGGGTCATTAACATAAAGTATTTGAAATGTTTTTCTTTTTAATCACTTTTCTTTGTTACTTCACTGCCTGAACAGAAACTCACAAATACTATATTCAAGTCACACTGAATTTATCGAACATTTGAGTGTGCATAACTGCCATGGCATAGTGTCACTGTGAAGGTAAACTTCATTGAGGATATATTTTTTATTTATCTCCCAAACAAGAAAAACAAGATTGAATTTTATTTTTAAAAGCAAATATCTTTAATACCATCTTAAATATATATATTTTTCCAGACCTTGTCCTGATATGTGTACATGTATTTCACTGCAGTGAACATCTTTTTCATCATTTCACTGAAGGGTGGCAAAATATGCTACCCAAGATATGTCACTTTGGCATAAGAATCACTTGGAGCTAAAGGCACTTGAAAAAAATAGCAGATGCAAGAAGGGCATTCTAATCTCTTCTCTTTCTGAAAACAGGAGATTAAAAAAATTCCCATGTGAAATGAGAGCTTCACTGTACCAGGAGAAAAGAAACATTATCCAGTGGGGAATCACAGTCAAGAAAATTCTGTACAATCAACTTTAAAATAATTAGCTTATTTTATCCTCCCCACATTGGTTTTATCATTTCTTTGGGTCTTCACTTCCCTATGAAGGCTCCTATGTCATATAAAACTTACATAAAATTTGTATGCTTTTCTCGTGTTAATCTATTTTATGTCAATTTAATTCTCAGGTCCAGCCAGGACCCTTAGAATGTAAAGTTTTGCCTCCCCTACACAACATACAACTTTGTGTAGTCCTCAATTATTTTCCTTAACAGAAACTCCTGGGAATGGCTGGGCACAGTGACTCACGCCTGTAATCCCAGCACTTTGGGAGGCAGAAATGAGAAGACTGCCTGAGCCCAGGAATTTGAGACCAGCCTGGTCAAATTGGTGAGACTTCGTCTCTACAATAAATCAAAAAATTAGCTAGGCGTGGTGGTGCACACCTGTGGTTCCAGCTACTTGGTGGCTTATGTCCGATTTTTCTCATCTGGATTTCTCTAGTAAGAGTGTAGAGGTGTTTTTGGACTTAAACCTGTTATCTTTTCTCCTCTATTTTGAGTAATGACAATCTGCTGACCGGGTAAGAATGCTGTTGAAAGACACTGTTGATTTTCAGGGCAAGTCTGAGAGGTGGAGTTGCTAGTAACTTTAGTAAATACCTTAGTAAGAAAAAACACTGAAAATCAATCCAGATACTGACGACAGCTTTTCTCTTATTTTCCATTTTTTTCTTATCTCTTGGTTGCTGAAATTTTTTGACTCATGGTATAACTTTGGGGGAACCTTTGGCAGAATTCTTGGTTGCAGGAGGCTTCTTTGAACTTAAGTCCAAATTTTAATTTGCAAAGAAACTGAAGCAGATGAACTTTTTCATTGTAAAAAAGTGAATGCCTTGATAACATACTTTCCTTAGTCGGCCTCTGTCATTAAGATTAATGCTTGAGGATACAGTTGGATCTTGTGTGGAATAGAAAGTTATTACTTACTGCATAGTAGATTTTAGCATACTTGCATCATTACATGGAGTATGATTTAACATTTAGTATCGCAGTTCCAGTGCCATGCATTTTCATACTGAATTTCAAACAAAAATGTGATGCTACTAACATTTAACAAAATTTTAATAAGGTTGTGTTTGATGCTATTATTCAAATAATGTCTTCTGAGTTGCTTTCCTTTGAATATATTTGCATTAAAGAGGAACTCATTTGATTTGGATCTTTTGAGGAGTTTATCTACTTTCTGGGTGGCTTTAAATAGACTGGGGAAATTCAACTTTGCTGAATTTGCCAAGATGTGTAGAAGTAATAGCAGATTGCTGATGGTTTCAGCTAATGAAATGACTCATTTGGCTATTAGAGTTGCACAATTAAAATATATAGACTGCACACATCAGAGATTATGAGGGGTAATACCCCGTCTTCTCTTTTTCTTTCTTACTGAGCCCTAAAGCTAATATATTAAGAATTAAGAAATTTAAGAGATCCACATTATTGCAACTCTTGATCAGTGATGCCCAAAATTAAATGGTAATCTCTTGAGAGCACATTTCTTTGCAGCATTCCTCTTTTCCGTTTCTGCTACAGTTGTGGTTGTGGGCCCAAAGCCGTTTCCACGAGCGTGTTTTCCAAAAATTAAACTCCTTTGGCCAAGCTAAAAGATTTTACAGTGCATGTTTTGTGTGGCGGTTTTCTCATAGCTGATGGGGTTTGTGCAGAGAAGACAAATAAGGAAACAGTGCAAGGAAGAAGCCCTGCTTACAGGAAAGCCTGCCCTCACGACCCCAAAGGCGAAAAAGGACATCAGAAGAAGTGCCTGGAGGTGATGACTAGGAGGGTGTGGATGTGAGCGAGGGGAGGGGCGGAAACTCAGAATCCTCTGGGACTTTTTAATGTCCTTTTAATGCTTTTCTACGTGTTGGAGTGGAAAGAAATGCTTTGACTTTACCTTCCACGGTCTCACCTTCGTCTTCAGCTAATTTTTCTTACACATTCATCCTCTGAGGTCTCTCCACGTTCAAATGTTCCCGATTTTAAAACTCTCAAGGCTGTCCGTAAAGCTCGCCTGAGCTCGTGCGGCCCTGCGTGTAGCCACACCCGTGTTTAGGAGTTTTGGTTCCGGTGCGCCCCTTGGACAACACTTACTCAGAAAAAAAGTCCCGGCTCGGCGTCCGAGGGCGGCACAGACACCGTTTTTTTTTTTTGAGCGCTCAGCGGCCGCTCCGGCGCGCCGCGCAGCCCCTGTGACGCACCGCGCAGCCCCTGTGACGCACCGCGCAGTCTCTGCCGTCGCCTCGCGCGCCCCCTGTGGCCCCGCCCAGGGTCGCGCAGACTTGCCTTGGGCCGACCCATAATCCTCTCCGCCGCCGCGCGCCGCCCGCGGGGCAGAGTCCGGGCCGGCCGCCGGCTCTCGCCGCCCGGCGACATGTTGCAAAAACAGGGTCGGGGCCGCTCCGGCGCCCAAGGCGACAGGGACAGAGGCTGGAGCCGTGACGGAGATTCCCGGACCCCAAGAGGCAGCATTGCCGAGGAGGCCCCGAGCACGTCCCGCGGGTCGAGCGGCACACAGGAGGCCCCGGGCGCCTCGTCTCAGGGCCCCCGCCGGTCCCAGACCGCCCCTTCCGTGGGACCCAGGACCCAGAAGCAGCTGGAGCTGAAGGTGGCGGAGCTGGTGCAGTTCTTGCTGATCAAGGACCAGAGGAAGATTCCGATCAAGCGGACCGACATCCTGAAGCACGTCGTTGGGGACTACAAGGACATCTTCTCGGACCTGCTCAAGCTGGCCGCTGAGCGCCTCCAGTACGTCTTCGGGTACAAGCTGGTGGAGCTGGAGCCCAAGAGCAACACCTACATCCTGGTCAACACCCTGGACCCCGTGGAAGAGGATGCCGAGGTGAGAGGCGACCAGGGGACGCCCACCACGGGTCTTCTCATGATTGTCTTGGGGCTCATCTTTATGAAGGGCAACACCATCAAGGAGACGGAGGTCTGGGACTTCCTGCGGCGTTTAGGGGTGTACCCCACCAAGAAGCATTTAATCTTTGGGGATCCAAAGAAACTCATAACTGAGGACTTTGTGCGCCAGCGTTATCTGGAGTACCGGCGGATACCCCACACTGATCCTGTGGACTACGAACTCCAGTGGGGCCCGCGAACCAACCTGGAAACCAGCAAGATGAAAGTACTGAAGTTTGTGGCCAAAATCCACAACCAAGACCCCAAGGACTGGCCGGCGCAGTACTGTGAAGCTCTGGCAGACGAGGAGAGTAGGGCCAAACCTGAACCTAGTGGCCCAGCTCCATCTTCTTGAAATCTGAGATGGATGCACAGGGACTCCTGGGACTGGGGTCTGAGACCCGAATGAATAATGCTGAGGGATTGGAGAAGGGGGGGCCCAGGGAGCATATTTCTGTAACGCTTAAGTGTGTGTACCTTTAAGATGTGTTTGCAAAGTTGTGTTCTTTTAATAGGGTGTTGGTTGGTTCCAGATTTTCAGTTGTAAACGGGTTAGGGGAGCATTTATTTTATTACTTATTTTACTTTTTTGGGTACGAAAGTTTTGCTAGCTTAGTAAAGCGAATTGGAAAACTTTACCATGATCTGGATCAGATGTGTAAGAAGGAACACATGAACAAATTGCTTTGGTGCCAAGAAAATAAAAGCAAACCCCAGTTTATAAGGAAAAATAAAAATCTTTATAACATTAAAAATAGAAATGTACTTGTCTGTATCCTCATTACCGTAACCTAACTATTTTGTTTCTCTTTATATCCTATGTATTATGCATGGCTCCAAGCAATGAACAGAATGTATTTTCTCCAAATAACAGTTTTTAAATATTCATAGTTATTACTCAGCTCTGTTGCTGACCAGTTAGTACATTTAGGTTTTTTGGGGGTTTTTTTGGTACTATGGTTGTTACAATAAATACTATATTTTTGAAGCATTGAGTGTTTTTTTAAATCGTGAGTTAGAACATTTTATGACTCAAAACCAGCATCCTAAAAAAGATTTTGCTGCATATTATAAGGGTAAATAGTGTTTTGTAGATGTTAGGTCAGTTTTGTGTGTGTATATATACATATATAGGATCATAATGTAAAACACATTTCTCACTGTGGGCCCCAGAAAGCTTAGATATCAGTGGTGTAAGTAATTAATCATACCTGCTTGGGAATCCGACTACCTGGTTTCAGATCCTGCCTCCGTCATAACTGATATGTGAATTTCTACAGATTCCTTAGATTATGCAGATGTTTCCTGATCTGCAAAATGGGCTGATGCTTATGTTATGTGTACCAATGTGATAATTAGATATGGAGGTTCATGTAAAGTTCTTGGCATAGACCCTGGTGTGGAGGATTTTAGTTATTACTTTGTTCCTTAATTTTTTTTTAATTTGTTTTTTGTTCCTGATTTGGAGATCTACTTAAAAAACAAACACACTTTAATTATCTTGTTCTAAATCATTCCTAAAAGAGCAATTACTGGTCCAAAATTTACAACTATGTTCTTCTAGTCTGACTCCATTGGATAGTTTTATGGGAAAATAACGAGGTATGTGGTGAGAATAGCCCACAAAGAACAGTAAAAACAGAAAAATTAGATAAAAGATCTCCCCTGGGTTTTGAGAGCTTTGTAGTATAGTAAAGTGTATGAATGTTGAGGTTGTCTGACAAACTGAATTTGAATTATGGCTCATGTCAACTTGTCAGGCTGGGGGTACACTTTAAGCTCTCTGAATCTCAATTTCTTTCTCTGTAAAATAGGAAGAATAATAACTATATCATTGTTCATTTTATGGATTAAATGAGCCAGAGGAGAAGAGGTCATAGTCTCATTTCTCCAGTAGCAAATAACTGTTTAAATATAGAAAATCAGCACTTATTCAGTGAGTAAATACGTATAGTTTTGTGTGGAGGTGCTGCAAATTAACCATGAAATGAGACAAATACTTTCACTCATTATAAACAATGTGAACTTCAACACTGGACTCAGTGTCATCTAGAAGAATCTATGGTGGGTATGGAGGAATGTGATAGGTTACTGGGTTTTATTCTGTTGAATTGGAATTTGCATTTATTTAATTAATTGCATACAGTTGGTCCTTGAAGGCAGTCCTTGATCTGCCTTTATTTCTGTGTATAAGGTCCTTCCTACTGGTCCCCTTACCTCACTGGGCAGGCTTCCTCCTCCTTGTGTGCACCTACTCTCGTTTTTACTTGTGGGGTGAGGATTATCATTACCCTATCACCCATGTCTAAGACAGGTGTCTTCCACACTTCTCATAGAGTTGTTCACTTACCATTAATGCATTTTATTTGGTTTCAGATTTTAAAATAGAAAACATTAGAGACCAGATCAAACCCATATATCTTTTCCTTCTCACCCTTCCTGGAGGTGACAGAAGTCTGGATGTGCTATTGTGTGATTTTATAGTTCTACTATATATGTATATGCATATAAATAACAATTTTATTCTGTGATATTACATTGTGTCCTTGTGCAACTTGCTGGGTTTTCACTCTTAGGTAAGATACAGCTATGTAGATCTATGTAGGTCTGATTAATTTTAGTTGTTCTTTTATGGGGGAAAAATAAGTTCGTTTACCTATTCCCTAATGTCTAGACACTTAGGTTTCTTTTTTCTTTCTTTTTCTTTTTTTTACAATTCTTTGCTATTTGCAGGTAGTGCACATAGAGTTTTCATAGGCACTTTTGTGAGAATTTCCCCAACCAGAAACAAATAGAGCCTAGGGGCCATTGCCAAATTGCTCTTGAGCTTGTATTAAGTTACACTCCTACCAATATTTTATACATTTCTTTTTTTCCCCCCAAACTTCCCTACTTCCACCCCTTGTGAACACTTAACCTTTTCAGTATCTTTTCACCCATTCTGGTGAGTATGTAGTGATAATTTATAATGGTATTAACTTGCACCTTTGTTTACTGGTGATGCTATCTTCCTGTCTTTTGCTTTTTTTTTAAACTAGATTTCATAGCTGTTAGACCCTTTTTCTTGATTTGTAAGACTTCTTTATATGTTCTGCATATTAATCCATTGTCTGCTGTATGTAGTGCAAATAATTTCCACATTCTCATTTTTTTGTCATACAGGTGATTTGATATTAATGTGTAACAATTATCAGTGTTTTAAGGGCTGTATTTTTTGAATAGTGCTTTAAAATCTTCTCTCTAGTCCTGATATTGTCAATGTATTTTCCAATAACTTTTTCTAAGTGTTCAAAGTTTTGATCTTGACATTTGCGCTTTTAATCTGTTTTTGTGTATGATGTAAGCTGTGAATACAATTTTCATATTTTCTCTGTGTGGACAGCCTAGGTTTTTGAGAGCTTATCGTTTCCACACTATAACACACTCCTTGTTATGTAGCAGTGTCCCATCTGTAAGTAAATGTATGGCTAGGACTGACTTGGTTTATTTGCTACCCATTTGCCAATAGCATGCTGTTACAATTCTTTATCATCATAATATAAACTTTTCTTCTTTTTCAGTTCTTATACCTTTTATTTTAGCCTTGTCTTTTTCGCATGAGTAGAAATGTGATACATTGGCTGGAAATGCAGTATTTCAGTATTGTCTTTTTTGCATTGACTGGAAATGCAATACATTATTGAAAAGAAGTGACAACAGACCTCATGGATGTTTCTGATTCCTTATTCCTGATTTTAAAGGAACCGACTTTTTAAATGTTGCCATCATGTGTGATGTTTGCTTTTTGTTTTTGAGTTGGAGTCTCACTCCGTCGCCCAGGCTGGAGTGTAGTGGCATACTCACAGCCACCCCAGCATTGACCTGCTGGGCTCCGGTGATCCTTCTGCCTCAGCCTCTCAAGTAGCCATAACTACAGGCACGCGTTACCATACCCAGCTAATTTATTTATTGCAGAGACGAGGTCTCGCCAAGTTGCCCTGGTTGGTCTCGATCCCGCGGGCTCAGGCAATCCACTCGCCTCAGCCTTCCAAAGTGCTAGGATTACAAGCTGAATCACTGAGCCCAGCTGGTGTTTGCTATTAAGTGCCCTCCAAATACCTTGAATTGGGCTGTTTAGTTTTGCCCTTATTCTTAGCTTGCATACAGATGTTCAGACAAATGATGAATTTGTCATATGCTCTTTATTCATCTGCAAATATGGTTAAGTTTTTTTTCTCTGTAAATTTGATATTTTGGGAGTATGGTTTGGTGTAATTGATAGATTTTTATTTATATATTTATTTATATTAAAGATATGGGAAACAATTCAGGATTAGGTATACAAATGATAGATTCTTCTGATGTCCAACCATTCTTGCATTTCTGGGAAAAACAGATGAAGTTTTACAGATGAATTTTCAAAAGATATACATACATAGCTTAAAAAATTATAATTTTGCATCTTTTGGTATAAGGGGGGATTTAATCTGTATTTTTTCTATATTGTCCTTTGTTTTTGAGGTTATGCTAATGTATTTGTTTAGAAATAATCTTACAGAAAAGTTTCAAGCACAGTGCACATGATTTTGTTCCCTGGACTATTTGAATTCATTTAATTATCATGTTTCTTTAATCTCCTTCAGTTCCTCAGTCTTTCCTTGACCTTCATGATCTTGCTACTTCTCAGCTGGGGTTTGTCTTCTGTTTCTTCATGATCAAGTTTGAATTATGCTTCTTTGGCAGTAATGTCACAGAAGCAGTGCTATGATATTCTTTCTGGATCCTATTAGGTGGCACAAAATTTAAACTCTTCCTGTAATTTTATAACTTTGACCATGTTAGATAAGAGGTTCTATGTCCTGCCTCTCCATTGTGAAGTTTTCTTCATAATAAGTAGTTTATGGGGAGATACTTGAGACTTTGTATAGGCCATGGGTTATAATCTTTTATTATCATTGCATATTTTGGTACTCAGATTGTCCCTGACTTGGCCTGTGGAAGTTCTTTAAAGCTGGCTTTTGTGTCTTTAACATGCCCCCATGAGTTATTGTACACTTCCTTACTTCTAGCACAAAAAGTTAACTCAGCCTTATTTTGAACTTTCCTTGACCCAGATCTGGAATTAGTCATTTCTCCAAGGAGAATGAAATTTAGAAACAAGATTGCTAAGTTTTCTCATGCCTACTGGGGGTATCATTGCTTCCAGCCCTCAAGATAACGGAGTTAGGGCATATCTGTCCATCCGTCCATCCACCTGTCCATTCGTCCATCCGTCTGTCCATCCATCCATCTGTTCATCTATCCATCCATCTACACTACTGAAGTCTAAGGGGTTACTGCCATTTGCAATCTAACACCACAGAGTTTATTCTAGATTTTTCGCTTCCATATTTGTAGGCGTTTTCTTCAACAGAGAGAAACTCAGCTCCTATTATTTTTGCCACTATATTTACTTATTTTATCAATTCACCTGTAAATACTCACTATGCTGTCATAGCTGCCATGCCCTCCTGCATATGGATGCTCTTTGCTTCCCACTGCATTCTGATGTCCCACATGGCTGCCTGTCTGTGCAGACACCCTCCTCACAGCGTGAGCTCTCCAGTACACCACTCTGGGGCCCTGTGAGAGCCCAGGACATGTAGCTTTCCCTAGGATATATACCTTGCACTGTCCCACTTAGTGGCCATTGCACTGAATTGTTCAGAAAGTAAAAAAACATTCTAGCCTCATAAACGCATTGGGGAACTTTGCCTTTGCCATATTATATGAGGATTAAATGTTGATGAAATGTTGAAGAAATCCACCTGAGAAAGACCATGGGCCTAGTATTTTTTGTATAGGTAGATTTTTAACTACTGATTTTGTCTCATTAACTGTATGTTCAGATTTTCTTTTGAAATTAGTTTTGGTCACTTGTATTTTCTAGAAAGTATTTTCATCTATTTTTCTGACTTATTAGTAGAAGCTTTTCTTGATAATCTCTTTTGCTCCTTTGGGAGGCTGAGG